CACTCACCTCAGCCTCCCAAGGTGCGGGATTACAGGCTGAGCCACCGAGCCCGGCTCTAGTTCATCTTTACACAAACAAATGTGGGCTAAGGGAAATGGTTCTCAAAGGGTGGCCCCCAGACCAGCACCGTTAACATCTCCTGGGAACTTGTGAGAAATGGGAATTCCTGGGCCCCACCCCAGTCTTACTGAATCAGCAGCTGTGGGGCTGAGGCCCAGCATCTGTGCTTTAACAAACCCAGTGTGTGTGAGTGATTCTGAGACATGTTCACATTTGAGTGCCACTGAGGATTTTTTTGAAGCAAGAATTATTACAAAAATATGGAGGAAACAAAAGACTTTTTCATTTCTTATTATCCTAAGTGATTTAAGAAAGCAAAAGTTCTTCTACTGCACATGTTCTGTATTTCTTTTTTTCCCCCCACTATTTCTGTACACTGGTGTCAGTAAGAGGGGAAAGAAGAAGATGGATTTATGCTTCCCATTAGGATATATGATAAGTATTTTTATTTTTTTGAGTTGGAGTCTCACTGTGTCGCCCAAACTGGAGTGCAGTGGCACGCTCCCAGCCACTGCAGCCTCTACCTGCTGGGCCCCGGTGATCCTTCTGCTTTAGCCTTCCAAGTAGCGGGAACTATGGGCGCGTGTTACCATGCCCAGCTAATTTTTGATTTATTATAGAGACTAGGTCTGGCCAAGTTGCCCGGGTGGGTCTCGAACCTGCGGGCTCAGGCAATTCACTCGCCTCAGCCTCCCAAAGTGCTGGGATTACAGGCTAAGCCAAGTATTATTTTTAAATGGCAGCTCGTTATCTCAGTCTCTCATCAATCTCAGTCTCTCATATTCCTGAGCCACCACTGTTCTCCCATACAACTAAAACGAAAAACCAAACAAACATACTCCATGTATATGAAGAAGGTTACATGGGTCCTTGCTCAGCCCATATAATATTTTGACTTGTTGTTAAGGTGACATTTTGAGATAATCATTGTGGGGAACTAAATTCTCCAACCTAATTTTCAAGCTAGATTTGTTAAGTCCTTCATTCCTGAAGAGACTTTATATAATTTATAAAAATAATTTAATCATAATTGGAAATCTCTTGTTAAATGATTCCACATACTAATGTTGCACATTGTTTATTCTTTGTGCATGAGGCATTGATCAGAATTCTTTTTTTTTTGAGTTGGAGTCTCACTCTCTCACCCAGGCTGAAGTGCAGTGGCACACTCAAGGCCACCGCAGCCTTGACCTGCTGGGCTCTGGCGATCCTTCCACCTCAGCCTTCCAAGTAGCTGGAACTACAGGCATGTGCTGCCACGTTCGGCTAATTTTTTAATTTATTGTAGAGATGAGGTCTCGCCAAGTTGCCCCGGCTGGTCTCGAACCCATGGGATCAGGCAATCCACCCGCCTTGACCTCCCAAAGTGTTGGGATTTCAGGCTGAGCCACTGAGCCCATCAGATTTATTTTTTAAAAATGTATAGATTACTGACTTTGTGCAGTAGCAAAGTGAAGTATCTGGGACCATCACTTTTACTTGGAAATTTATGATGAATTTTTGGCAGTGTAGCCAGAGTAACTTAGACATACTTAGATGAGTTTCTTGCAGGCAGGTCTAAATTAAAATAGGGTAAGCATTCAGATATTTTTCTTAACAGTACACGACCTTCACCCAATGGACCAGGCATACCAGACCTGACTACCTTTCTGGTTTGAATGTGGATCTACCAGTACAGTAAATCACAGAAATAATAGGAAATGACCCAAAACACAAACGTGAGGTTATAAAAGAAGGCCAAAATCTAGTTAGGCAATAACTTTCATTATTTAGAAGGTCCTTGTGACTGTAAAAGGTTGAGAGATGGTAATCAAAACTTGTGACCAGGCTGGGCTTGGTGACTCAGCCTGTAATCCCAGTGCTTTGGGGCTGAGGTGAGTGGATTGCTTGAGCCCGTGGGTTCGAGACCCGCCTGGGCAACTTGGTGAGACCTCATCTCTACAATAAATAAAAAATTAGCCGGGCGTGGTAGCGCGCGCCTATAGTTCCAGCTACTTGGAAGGCTGAGGCAGAAGGATCGCCGGAGCCCAGCAGGTTGAGGCTGCGGTGGCCGGGAGCGTGCCACTGCACTCCAGTCTGGGCGAAAGAGTGAGACTCCAACTCAAAAAAAAAAAAAAAAAGTATTACATTAGTTAATAATTTCATGAGCAATATCAGGAAGTAGTAACTGTAATACAGGCTCATCACATTGAATATCACACAACTCAATTTGTTGTACTCATTTTAAACACAATTCTAACAAACTTACTTTCTGGTTTCCCAGTCATCCCCAATTAAAAGAAAAAAATTGCCAGGCTCGGTGGCTCAGCCTGTAATCCCACGCCTTTGGGAGGCTGAGGTGAGTGGATTGCCTGAGCCCGCGGGTTTGAGACCCGCCTG